CCATAGATATTGTTTCTCCTATATTTTGGGCCCATTTAATCATACAATCTTTAACTAACTCAGTTTCTGAATCCAATTCTAATAAAACATTATATATCCTTCTAATGTGTCCTTTGGTACCGTCCCTTACTTGTTTCAAAAAATTCCCATCTTCCGTAGAAAAAATAGTCTTTTAATCAGTTCGCCATCTATCTTGAATTTGTCCATACACAAGCCAAGAAAAATCTGGGTTTTTCTGTTTCAAAACTTCTATTGATTTCAGGCACCAGTTACCACTACCAGTCTGGTATAACAAGTCTTTGTATGAGGGCGCTTCCATCACCACACATCTAGGTATGGTCAAAAAAATATGTGATGGTATCACCCAAATTGGGAGCTTAACATCAAACTTAAAATGAATATTCTACCTAAGTTTCTTTTTTTATTTCAGATGTTACCTATTTTAAAAAATGAACTTAACTTGAAAGAATGGCAAAGAGATTTGAACCGCTTCATTTGGGAAGGCAAGAAAGCCAGAGTTAGATTTAAGATTATTCAAGACATTAGAGAACGTGGAGGACTTAAAGCACCAAACTTGACACTCTGTTATGATTCTTGTGCATTAACATGGATGACGGATTGGATTAACTTGTCCAACAAAAGGATATTGAACGTTGAAGGATGGGACTTGTACTTTGGGTGGCATGCTTATCTTTTTATGCAGAAAAAGATTGATAAAACTTTTAGAAATCATATAATAAGGGCTGCTTTGTTAAGAGTTTGGCATTATAAAATATTTCTGTTATTTTTCTAGTAAATGTTATAGGTTCTGCCTACATATGTCCATCAGTTGTTTCAATATTCTGTACTAATTCTGTTTCATTTATTTGTATAATAAAACACTCTCTGCTACAGCTGAGACTTTTATCAAATTCTACTTCTTTGCATATCCAAATTCTATTTCCTGATAATTATAACACACTGCAGAATATTATCTTATTTCAAAAGGTGTCTTCCAATTAACATCCATATGGCAAAGAAATCATACTCCAACTGCATTCTGAAACGGGATCTTCCATTAAAGCTACGTGTTGTGTTTTACTAAATAAATAAAGACATCCTAAGACCAAAGATATTTGTGAACTTGTACAGACGTCTATATTTTCTAATTGTTTGGCAAGAGTTTCAATGTTTATTTGCAAGTTACCTTATCTTGTGCTACTAGATAAAGATAGTTTATTGCTTTCTTCCTTCACTAATTTAGATTACCCTTTCTGGAAACACCACATGCTGTGTTATAGCAAGGATGTCCTGCAGACCTGTCTCACCACAGAGTCTTCAGAAGCATTACGAACAGAAGCCAGCAAACTGTCCAAGGAATTAAAGAAACAGTATGATTATCTAAATATACTATTCAAACATCAGAAAAAGATAGGTGTCAAAGAAGTATCAAGAGTAAATTCAGAACAAAATATACATGATTGTTATTGTATTTCTCTTCTGTTTTGTAACCCAGAATAATATTATTTAAAAAATTAAAGATGAGATCTATGTGTGCATGTAGGCTGTCTGAAGCAGCTTTCCAAAATCTTCGCTATCTTAATTCATTCAGATTCAACCTCAAAACACATCTTTGCCATGAAGCCTTTGGCACAATTCTCTATATTCCATACCTTACCTATAACTTTCACAAACTAGACTTGCTGATTGGGCAGGTGAAAGAGAGAATCTGACAACTAAAGGATATAGTAGAAGGCAGCCTTGTTGAAACTTGATCTAGAATCCAACCCCATGCATGAGCAAATAAAACAACCAGAGTCTGCAGATTTGGCCAGAATAGAAAGATTGCTCGATCCCTTTTCTTATATAATTATTTTTGTTTCTGTTTTCCTCTTGTTCCTTTATTGCTTCCCTTGGGAAGGGCCTCTTTTCTTACCAAGTTTAAAGTACTTTGTATCCTGATATTAGTTTTTGTTTGCATCTAACCTTGACTTTCTCAATTTATGTGCTTCTCCTTGTCCCTCTGCCAGCTGTTTATCAAAATCATAGTGGAAGCTCCCTGTATTGATTACCATGTGACACTAATAGCATTACAGTTGTGCTTTATCCCTAATGAACTGCAGAATGAAATTTATCGTTAGCTAATTAAAAAGACCAACTGAGAGGCCTGGAACCACCCAGTGAACATTCCTCTGACTTAACAAGGGAGATCAGAGGGGCAAAAAGAAGCTACTCTGAGAAGCTGACAAATCAGCTCTTATCAAATGAACTAGCAAATGGGAAAACCCTTAAAGATACCACTGGCTACAGCAAACCTTCTTCCCATGTTGAATGGAATCGACAACTGGCAGATGACCTGAATGTGTTTTACTGTAGGTTTGAGAGGAAACCACTGTCAACTATTGTCACCCTCTCCATCTCAGATACATCAACAACAACCAAGTCTCCTACATCGGACTCCATCCCTCTGGGCCCCCCACCTCTGGTGATCACAGAAAAAGATGTGCGAGGTCTATTTCACAGATAAAAACCTGGAAACGCACCAAGCCCAGAGAAGACAATGCTATATGGCTTTGCACACCAAAACAGCCAGTCACAAAGGCAATTTTCCCCCCATGCTATCGCTCTGTTAAACAACTAAGCCACACAACACTGTCTATGCCCTGGATGTCAAACCACCTAATAGGACTGTATTACTTATTAGCCTTCTCATCTGTCCTATTACCTATTTTCTTAGATTCTTATGAGTATAATTTGTTATGATTTATGTTGATTGCTTTTATTTAGTATCCTATTATGATTTATGTTGATTGCTTTAGTGTCCTATGACTGTCACTGAATCTTGTATCTATGATTTATGATGATTGTATTTTATGATTATGATTATTACCTGTTGCTTGTATGTACACTGAGAGCTTATACACTGGAGACAAATTCTTTGTGTGTGTCTGTCTGGCCAATAAAGAATTCTATTAGTTCCATGCCCCTCTTAGTTTGCTAATGTTTCCCAAAAGGCAGCATGTAGGAGGGTCCATGCCGTAGTTTTGGCTTTGTTGATACTATAATCCTTCCTAAAGAAGCTGTTGCAGGATTCAACAGTCCTGGATAATTTTTGTCCAGTCTCCAACTTCCTTTCCTAGTGAAAATTGTTGCAGGATGTAGCTTTAGAGTCCTGGAGGAAACTGATTATTTTGATTTATTTCAGTCAGGTTTCCGACAAAGACACAACACTTGGATGGTATTGGCCACATTTTTGGATAACGTTTGGCAGAGCTGGGATGGGGGTATGGGTATGTGTGTGCAACAGTTCTTCTTGATCTATTAGCAGATTTTGATACCTTCTACAATGTTATCATTTTGGAGTTCTTGTGAGCCTTAAATCTGAGGGACACGGTGTTTCTCCTTTTTTCTCCAAATCTAATCAGAAGTTGGTGGGAAATTGAGTTGGAAGCCTTTGGTATATAGGAAGCCACAAAGCTCAATGCTCTTTCCCAAATATAAAACTGCTGGGTTGGGGTATGTCCAGTATGCTAATAACACCCAGTTGTATATCTGAATCCTGACTTAACCAAGTGATGCTGCAAGATAGTCACCAAGCACCCTACATGCGATTGTGGAGATGTTTAAGTTAAAGGACAGCTGGAACTTCAAGAACTGATCATAATTATCACTCGTTCAGCACTGTTCTAACTTTGAACCAAATGTGTGATCATTAACCAAGGACTACCTGTATTTGGCAGCCCACATCTGGAGATTATATGTCTTTAATCCTAAATAGGATTATACTTCTTGGAGCTGCTGCATTACTGGGAAGTCTTTGTGGACACATAATTCCTGCTGAGCAGGTGGCAACTGTAGCCAAGGCGGCCTTTGCACAGATTTATCTTGCAGGCCAATTTTAACTTTTCTGAAACAGAGGATACTTTGGGCAGTCATGCTTTGGTCATCTCATATATAGATTATTTCAATAACGTGTTGCATATGGGACTGCCATCGAAGACCATTTGGAAGCTACAGGCAGTCCAAAATGTAGCAACCGAGGCAGTTATGGACAAGCCTTGGTTTGTCACATAACCCAATTTGGGAACAGCACTGACTATCAATAGGCTTCTGGGTGACATTGAGACTGGTTATTTGAGGTCTACCTATCAACCATGGCATATGCCTATCTTGTTTGATCCGAGAGTCAATAGATAAAATAGTATAATCTTATGGGGTCCAGGAACTATGCCCTCCATGTCACCATTCCTGCCCTTTGGAACAGCATTTCCCCTGAGGTCTGTATTTCCCTGTCCTGGCCTTATTTACGAAAAGCTCTTATGGCCTGATTTTTTTCCCCCCCCAGGCCTTGGGCTAATTTTGAATCCTTCTTGGAAATATTTTTTTTCTTTTGTTGTAATTGTCTTTTGTTAATTTGTTGTTTTTAATCTCTTTTTAATTGTACATACTGCCTAAAGTGGTTTTGAATCCCTAATGGAGCTAACATATTTTATTCAAAATACAATAAAGTAAATAAAAAAAAATTGAGAGAACCTCTATGTTCAAGCAAAAGAATGAAAGCTAAGCCTGCAATGCAGTGTACCCTTGACAGTATGTGGTACTTACTACAAGTAAATAAGCACGACGTCTAGTTGCATGGGAGATATCTTGACAGTTTTACATCCATTTAAGCTATGTGCAAAGGATGTACATATGAATCAATTACACATCTTGTGGTCCAAAGTCAGGAAATGAAACAATAGGTCAAGGCCATGAGAAGCTAAATATTTGGAGAAGGACCGTAAGAATCCAAGACTAGTGATAAGAGCAGCTGAGCAACACAAGTTAGATAGGTTTGTGGAATGTTTTCTTTCGTAAGTTTTAAGGAAAGCAGGGTTAGAATATGTAAAAGTTGCTTAAATCATAGCTCAGGTATTGTAATGTAGGCTTGGGTATTGCTCAGATTTTTGAGTATGTGTATGTATATATGTGTGTGTGTATGTGTATATACATACAGGCACACAAACACACACACAAGCCACTTTCACATCATTCCCACTGATATATTTTAATGCACATGACAAAATAAAAATTGAATTTCATAAAATACTTTAGGGATTTAGCAACATTATGAACAAATCTAGATATATTGAGCAAGACAGAGCAAGGCATTCACCAACCAGACAATCCCTTGGCTTGCACCATATAAATGTATTTTCTTTTTGGTCACAAGTACATTATTTATAATATTGTAATCAGTTTAATTAATTTTCATTTGCCCACTATTGGCACTGATCACTTCTAAATAAAATAATTTGAGTTTTTAGTCATTTGGTACTGAGATTAGCTTTCTACAAAAAATGTAGTGATAGTTATTTTCTGGCATCCTATTTTAGATAAGAGGACGGTTAATAAATAAATATATTTAAAATAATCTCTTTTTCTTTTTTGCCTTTCTTACCAGTTAATATTAATTTCAACCAACTAACTCTTGCATCAGAAACTAATATTTGGAATTTGGGATATCAATTTCCTATCAAAGTACCTTTTATTATAATAGTTCTGTTAATAGATGCAGCTAAATTTGCTTAATCTGGTAAACATATTCATGATCTTTGAGCATTCCCCATGGTCTTTTATGCAGTGAAAGCACAGGAACTTGAAAAAACTCTGTCCGCAAAGGAACAAGGTTTAATATGCATATACAAAAATGCCCTGGTATGCATCTTCAGTAAAAAGCAACACATCAGTCTAAAATAAGAAATATTATACTATCAACACGATATGGTACAATTTATTTTTATATCGGGTTGAAAGTTCTTCAGTTCCAGTTGTGTTCATCATCATTGTAAACTCATTTAAAATCCCCACTTCATAAATAGGAAACAGAGACTCTAATATGGAGGATATTAGCTGGACCTCTTTTCTGGTTCATACAGGTTCTCGTATAAAATAATTATATATTTATAGTTTGTTTATTTTAAAGTATAGCAGCTTTGACAGATTTTTTTCATTTCAGGATAGCAGTGTTAAACTGACCACGTCACCTAGCGGCGTCCTACCTGGACATTAGAAATAACTGATGAAAAATTACTCTGTTTTACAATTATGCTGATGTCCAGTACATAAAACTGTATTCTGTATTAAGATGGAGGTGGTGTTGATAAGATTCTTTATTAAGATGGAGGTAGTCTTAATAAATTAGATTTTCAATACAATATTTTCTTTCACTGTATTCTTTTAATAGGAGTTCTGTTTCTCAGCTTTTGGTGTAAAAATGCACTTCAGGTCTGGGTAGATGGAGCTATTGTTCAAGAAGCAGGTATCTAATGTTCCAGGGGCTTTTTGTAAAGACAAAGGGCATCCTCATGTCACTCAGGAAAGATTACTTTGCTTGTGAATTCCATAAATATAAATGAGCTTACCTAGCAACCAGAAACTACATCTACAATTATCATAATCCACTAATACTAATATATAGTTAATGAACAAAATTAAGTTTGTAAAAGGAATACTATTGGACATAGCATATAACTCAACATTATCAGAAAACAGATTCCAGTCTTCCATGGAATTCTATTTAGAAAGTGGGAAAAAACCCTTATTTTCATCTTATTTCTGCTGAATCTTCCTTGTAGATTTCCAGTCATTTAGACAGGGTTAATTTTTGACAGGAAAAAAAAAATTATCATTGAGTTTCTTACATCATGAGGTTGACTGAAGAAAATGTGGAACCTGGATTAGTAATTTTGTTCTGTAACATTTCTTCACAGCTGCACGTTCAAACCTTTGTCAAAAAGGCACTAGCAGTTTTTAGTTCCTTGGTGGATTTTAATCTACTCTTACCTACTTGTCAACATAACCAGGTAGATTAACATGGTTGCTTTGGATAAGCTTCACCTAATAACTTGGGTCAAAATTGTATTATTGTGGTTATTCTGTCTTGATAAAAGGTTTCACATTAAAAGCTGGTATCAACATTTTTTCCTCTCTCCAGGATTTCTTGGCAACTTTTGTATATGTCTACAAGGCAGTCCAGACGTGGCATGGAGCTCTATAAATAAAAAGGATATTTTATGTGAATTTGCAGCTGAAATCATGTAAATAATTGATACAGAACTGTAAAATACGGCTTCTTGGATTTTACAGGACAACCACAACAACCAATTGAACACATTTATAAACTTTCCCAAATTGGGAATTCCTTAATAAATCAATCTTCCTTGATTAATTCCTTCCTAAAGTTCCAATTGCACAACTCAGTTTTAATTCTCTGTATGAAATTGATTTCCCAGTCTAGCCTACAGCTCCAGGATTCCATGGCAATGGCTCCTACTTCATGTTTAATTCCAATGTTTGCATACTGAACAGTGTATAAATTCATTGGATTTACTCCATATATATCTATCAGTATAGTTTTTGTTCCCAACTGTAAGTTTCTGATCCCAAGAGAAGTTTACCTGTAGATAGAGTGGGAAGAAATATATAGAGGGAAAAATTATTTTTTTCTGAAGTCATTAGATCCAACTGCATTATTTTTATTCGGCCTAGAATTCCATCTTTATTAATATAAGAAATATTATAAAAGATTGCTAAAGAATAGATAATATATATTTACTGTTACTGAATTATGTAACAATAAAAAAATAATGTATCAATTATTTTTAATCTACTCAATAAGTTTCTTCCCTAGGCTCTCTAGCTATTTTTGACTTCTGAAAGATCTTTTAACAGAATAAAGTCCATTTGGAAACTCTCTTTATGGAGAGCAGTATCTAGAAGTTTCATAGAAAAACAGGTTAATTTAGTATAGTACGTGATTATAGAAGTGTTAATAGGCTCAGTGAGGTGGTAAATTGTATTCTTTAGAGTTGACATAACTGAGAAAAACAAGAACTTAAATGCATCAAAGGGTGACAAGGGTTACTACTCCACCTACCTGTGCAAAATTAACTATCTAAAAAGTTCAGCAGTCAGTCCATGCTCAGCTAAGCACATCACTGTTATATCTAAAGGCATAGTTATTGCAAGTCAGTAAGTTTCAAACAAGCACATATTCTTTAACATGGGATTGAGAAAAAGATCACGTAAAAATGCTGTTCTCTAACTTAAAGATATTTTTAATATTTTTACAATTTTTATGTATTTTCCAGAGAAGAAATACTGAAAATTAACAAATGGCTTCCAAGAGGCATTTCAGAAAAAAACAACCCATATGATTTCAGCAAAAATAAAAAATGATATTAAGCAACAAAAATCAACATCCTCAGCAATATATTTTATACTTACCTGAAATAGTGGCACTACTTCAGAAACAGCATGAGGTTCAATAGGATCTTGGAGAAGGATGCACAAGTAGTAAATAACTTTTTGCTAAAAGTAATGTATAAATAGGATAGTAAAAAAACATCCCAGTTATAAAAGTCTGTTCTTAAAACATTGTGGCTTTGCATGATACTAGGTCTCTGTATATTGCATTCCCACTCAATTTCTGATTGTTGAAACAGTTCCAAAGGTATGATAGTTTTTAAACATGAAGCAACTTGCAATGTTATTTTTAAGAAGAAAGCAAACAAGTCTATTGCCTATACTACATATCTGCCAATTATATCAAGAATTTAACTTGTTCTCAAGTCTGGGCTATTTCTGGGACCATCCCAATCCTGGAGCGGCCTTCAGAGTTCTATTTCAAAATTAATAAGCGATGAAATAGTATTTTATGATGTAGAACAAGCACATGCACAACTCTTTTTCCTCAGATTCTTTTCTCTAGGAACATGAAATGTTCAAGTATTTTTTTTCCTTCTGAGAGAAATACAATTTCTTAGCAGTATAGGAAAAGAGTCTCCTTACCATATAAATGGCTTCATTGATGACCACATCTTTGACCTGGTTCATCTCTATAAAGGTTGTGCTCTCTTTCCCTGATGCATAGGATGAGGTCATCTGTATTCCAAGTGAGTCAATTATCAGCAGAGACTCCTGGTCAATTTTCACAAAATGCAGGTATACAAGTAGGCCAATCAATGTGATAAATATAGAAGCAGAGAGCACCACACTGTTCTGTAATGGAAAACAAGTTCTCAAATGGACAAAACAAAAGTCACTTTGTATTCTATATAATTATACACTATACTGTAATACTATAAAACACTTTCAAAGGAAGAGCTGCTCATTACCATTAAAATCTATATGAGCGGCTCATGCACTATATTAAAGAGTACAAAATGAAATTATGCAGACACAATCAATAGTTCCCTATGCAAAGTTGTACATCTGTTGTATATTTGTGTTTCATAAAACAGATATTACTTGTTCTTATACTAGAGGTAAAAATGGAACATCAAACTGTAAAAATATACATTTCTGGCAAAATAAGAACATCTTTATTTTTAAAACAAGAGTAGAGTTGAAGACATGACACTGATAATTACATATAATGGAGATAAAAGGTCACAAACATCTTTGAATTGTTTTTATTTACAATAGTTGTTTTTCCTGGTAGGTTCCTAATATATCCAAACTCACCTGCATCTTCATTTAGAAAGAGAACCATATTAATTTTACAAGACATGATGGATTTTACACTGAACTGCAGGTCTAGTTAAGTAACTGTAGATAAATCATAAGTTATTTGAATTAATGTTTAAAGACCCTCTTGGGAAAAAGATGGGTCGTGAACTATTTATCTCCTTGCAGATAAAGCGATTTGCACATAAAGAGATTGTCCATTTGCACATAAATGCAGGTGAGATGGGCATAAGGTGATGGGGCATCAGAAAAAATGTTTTGAAATGCAAGAAGATAAATGTAGAAAAGAGTTATGTTCTTTCCTCACTTTGGGGAACTTTAGTTCAACCTTTGCTCAACTCTTCCAGAGCCACTAGACTTCTCCCTATATCATGTGCAACCAGGATAGGAATGTTGATTGTGGATGATGAAAGATGTATTCTAGTGATTCTGAAGAGCATGTAGAGTAGAGGGAGAAAGCCCCAACTTTCTTGCTGCCAAAAAACAAATGGCCTTGAAAAATCAGGGGCCAGGGACCAAGGCGGATGGGGGTGGGGGAGGGACACGCCAGCAATGGCCTCGTGTCCCATTGCTAAACTGGAGGGAAACTGGGTGGTGGTTGCTACCAGGGTGGACTAGAGTGGGTCGAAGACAAATGTCATGCGTTAATAGCCTGACCAAGGGTTAGGAGGGCCACCCGCATAAGGAGGCAGTGCCCTGGTGATAAATGCAGCACACCACCTCGACCATAACACCTACTTAATTCATTAGTCAGTCTTTGTCTACCTTGACAACTATTAACATGTGTGGCTCAATGCAGGCTGCGGAATTCTGGGAGTTGAAGGCCACGGGTTTTAAAGAGAAACATTAAGAGCCCAGCAGGTTCGAGCAATTTGAAAGGGGCCGGGATGGAGGGTTGGGGCGTAATGCTGCCTGCCCGCTGAATTCTTGGGGGAGGAGCTCCCTCGTAATGGCGGGACATCAACTGCCCTTCACTCCCCGAGCCTGAGCGAATGTCGGGCTTCAGGACCGGTACCTGGCTGACGATGAAGAGCCCATAAGCCACGAGCCACACGCAGCACGTGACGGCAGTCAGAGAGCCCAGCTGCAGCCGCGGGCAGCGCACCTGGAGCTCCCGACAGGAGGCGCTGTGGTGGAGGGGCCGCAGCTTGATGCGAGCCCCTGAGATCGATAAGTATTCCCGCTCTTCCGCCATGTCCGAGCCGGTGAGCGACGCGCTGGCGGTTCGCAGATGGGCAGAGCGGCTCTTCTTTTTCTACGCCCTCTCTAGCCGGCTGTCGCTCGATGGTAGGAAGGCTCCGCCTCTCCCGGCTAGGAGCTGTCTATTGTGCTGGAAAGGTTGGCGAGCCGGCCGCCGGAGGGGTCTTCCCTTGAATGCTTCGGCCGCCGGTTCCTCCCTTTGCACAACCGGGACAGGAGCGTAGGAAGCGACAGCCTCCCCTCCCCCCAAGATCTGCGATGTATCAGATCCTCCTGGTCTTCTCTTCCTCGGGCAGCGATGTGCTGCTCTTGGCTCTCAGTCCCGGAAAATCGAGATGATCCGGCTTGGATGCATTTTCTTTTAAATCTCGATTGGTCCCGTGTCTTATGTATTGCATAGACTCACAAAATAGAACCTTGTAAAAATTATTCACGCACAATGACGTTGGAGAAATTGCTGTTTTTTTTTAATTTGGGGATAACAATGAGGAAAAATTACAAAAATGAAAAAAAACTCCTCTTGATCCCAAGAATAGTATTATTTATTTAAAAGAAGTGGGAGACCCAGCATCATGTCATTCCTGGAAAAAGAATTTTGATAAAATTTTACATGTATAGTTTCATCTCACAGTATACTTTTTTTTAAAAAAGGATTTGCTTACAACAACTGATATTTTATTCACATGACAGGTTCCTTAATACTTTATATTCATAATTACAATGCTTACTGGATTAATTGTACAGTTGCAGTGTATTTTAATAAATGTGTCACATCACACATATTTATTTTATACCTGTTTTATTTTTCAAAAGCAGAATGGCACCAAATAATAACTTATAGCAAATCATAAATACATTCATAATCTCTGAAGCAAGTGCAAAAAGCAGGTGAAAACAATAAAACTCAGTACAATTTTAAAAAATTAATAATCTTTTTAACTGATGTGGGGACTAAATCATTTGGAACTATGCATTAGCAAATATGACTGCAAAACAGTCCTGTGTTTTTCCATGAGCTGGACAGTAACTTTCCATGAAGTGTAGAATCTCCTCAGAATCTGTTGTGGAAACTCCTCAGAACTTGTTCTGTTGTAGCTCAGACAAGATAGCTTCATGCAGTAACAGCCTAATCCTATTTTTCCCATGCCAACTTTGATTCAACATGGCTTTGGGCTAGCTGGAAATTCTGAAAGTCTTCATTTTAGTAATGTTCTGATTGGAAGAGGTTGATTTAACCTATAAGGATCTACAAAACAAGACTTCAACAAGCTCACATATTTTGTCTAAATTCAGCATTCTGAACTCAGGGCTTAATTATATCTTATATAGATAATTAATTGCATTTCTGATTCACAGTACAATAGCCTCTTTTAAGTGAGGAACCTCAGGAGGACTAATCCCATGTTAAACAGTGTGGAAGGAAGAAAGTAATCCTATTGTCTTATACACATGTTCCTGGTTGTGAGTAAGGTCCAATGAGCACAATGAGATTTATCTTTAAATAGAATTTTATAGCACGGTGTTCATTCTGCTAACAACTCTTTGAGAATTATTGGTATGCTGGAAGCTGGCAGTTCCAGGCTGCATCTCATGACTCAAAGAATCCTAAATTTTAGCATGTTAGAGCAGGGGTCTTCCAACTTGGCCCTTTTATGACTTGTGGACTTCAACTCCCAGAATTCCTCAGCCAGCGCACCTGGCTGAGGAATTCTGGGAGTTAAAGTCCACAAGTCATAAAAGGGTCAAGTGTGAAGACCCCTGTGTTAGAGAGTGGCAAGACCAGATTTTATTCAGCCTATGCCTACCAAAATGGAGCTATTCACCAGCACCAGCATAATCTGATCTATATCAGTAACTTCACCCTTACTTTTCTTAGAAAAACAACTGTGAAGCATCTTTCCGGAAAGTTGCCAAAACTTTGATTGCAAAACATTCAAACAGATAGGTCGACTCTGGTCAGCTATCAGTTATTTCCAGAAATGGCAGTAGACAAAGGAAATACATGTGAGGTGTAACCAGCTGACAGCGGACTATGAAAATGGTGTATGTCCAACAATCCACTCTTGGAGGTCTTGGACTGCAACTGTGGCAAAGGGAACTCATGTGAAGGAATACTTGAGGAGGTTTTTGCACAAAGTCAGTCAACATGTTGGGCAAGGCCAAGACCTGAGAAAGAGGGGTCACCCTTAAAATGAGCTTTTATTCTTTCCTGTAGAAGCTGAAATAGCCTCAGTCAGCGGGACATCCTTTCCCAACACTGCAATCTTATACGTCATAGATGGAAAGAAGAACTGGAAATGATGAAATTGTGTTTGCACGTTTCTCATCTGTACACAAACTCATGTGTCTGAGCGGAGAATTCGGTATATATTGCCTTGAATAATTACAAACAACCAGCCTCGTATCCTTAAGTCTTCCCTAGAGAGCCACTAAAATAAATTGCTTTGAATTCAAGGGGAATTGTCCCCTCGCCCCACCTAATCCAGCAGGCGTGTAGTGCGTTGAACTGCGAGCCCAACTTTCCTTAAAAAAAAAAAAAAGCAGATATTTAACCTGGCTTTTAGGAAGAGGAGTGAAAATCTGAATCGCCGGGCAAATTTTCAACCGAGAAACCGGTAACTTAAGCTATTCCTCACCTTAAAACGATTACACACACACACACAAACACACAACCAGGTAGAAATGTCTTTTTTTGGGGGGGAAGGGAGCAAAATTAATTCCGGAACGACCTGCGAAAGCCAGAGGGGGGTCAAGAAGGAATGCAGAAGCCAGGAGGGCGCCAAGCCGCTTCGGTCACGTTCGTTCGCGGAGTCGGGCGTCTTCCGAGGGGCTCGGAGGCACGTCCCAGGCCATCTCAACGCCGATTGGCGCGCCGATGGGCCGTCGGCCAAGGGGCGGGGCCAAAGGCGCAGAGGCTCGACCAATCGGCCCATTATAAAGCTTCGCTCGCAGCTGGTGCCGACGCTGGCGTGGTAACAAAGCTGGTTCTCGCGCGCAGCTTCTGCTCTTAAGATCTTTCGCCACGATGGCTCTCCGTAGCAGTTTCGCTCGGCTCCTCCAGCAAGCGGGCTCCTCTCTGCGAGTCTCTCGGGAGCTCTCCCATTCGGTGGCTATCATCGGGGCCCCCTTCTCCCTGGGCCAGGTAGGTGGCGTGGCGGGCAGGGGGATAGTCCGGACCACCGATTTGTCCGTCCGGGGGTGCGAGGGGGAAACGGCAGGCACGGTCGAGGGAGGCGTCCTTTGGCCCTTTCCAGGGGGGGCTGCGGACCTCCGCCTTCCCCAGTGAGCCTAACAAAAAGAAGGGAACTTTGTGCCGCCTGCTAGCCGGGAAAGGAGATGCTCCAAAGATTAATGATCAATTATCATTCGTGCCCGACCCGGTCGATCCGCGACGATTCGCCCTAAGCAGGAACAAGGCTGCTGCATGCGGTGGTCTTGCGAAGCCTGCAGCGATGAGGAGGGGAACCGTGCGGCGGTGGGTGTCGGAAGGCAGGAAGAAAAGGTGGGGTGGAGCCTTCTAGAGAATTTGGCTGGCGGGGAAGGGGGGCGGCGGCGGCGGCGGCGGCGGCGGCAGAGGATTCTCCTGGGAAGTGGAAATTTCCAAGCGGCCGCTTTGTCCCCGTGAGCTCATCGATATCATTTCCCACGGGTGTCGCTTGGAATCACGGCGCGGATCCTGTTTTGTCTTGTAGAAAAGAAAAGGAGTGGATCACGGTCCTGCAGCGGTCCGGAATGCGGGGCTGGTCGGAAAGCTTTCCCGCATGGGTAAGTGGGAAGGGCGGGATGGGAGCCCTACCTTTCGGGAAGGGATCTGAGTTCTCTGTCTGGTCCTGCCTAACTTCCCCACCCAGTCGTCCATATGATATGATTCATCATGAGTCCACCGTCTGAAAGATTGCTTAACCTGGGGCCTTCCAGATTGTTGGGTGCCCATTGTTCTAATGTTGCCCAGCCAACATCCTGTTTAAGGAAAGGAGCAACGTGTATTTTGACTGATCATAGTATATCACACTCAAAATCTGCAGTCCATCCTCTCATAAATTCCCTAGGTTATTGAGGTGGGAGTAAGAAATCATGGAAAGGATATCATTGTGGAGGATGACTTATGAGAACCTAATCATTTTCAACGCATAGACAAGATCATCAAGCAAAAGTGACTAATTTTTGAATAAGTGATTGAAAATTTTGAAACAGACCTAAATAATTCCAAAAAGACTGTGTTATTCAGTGTTCTTGAAACCCCATCAAATTAAACCTTCCTAATCTCCCAGTTAAATATGAACTCGGTACTTTCTTCTTTTTGAAACCATCAGATTACCACAAAGATAACTAACATAATAACACCGTAAATGTTTTTTTATCCAAGTTATCTTGAATTAAAGCACTAGTCACACATTTACACTAGCTGATATGAACTCATTCATCCAGAGTTTAGCTTTTTGGCAGTCAATAAAAATGATTAGTAGTTACAACATTCCAGAGATTCCTGAAGGAAAACAAATTCACAGTTCAATAGTATTTTGGTGTAAAAAGTGAATATCATTTTGTGAAGATGACTGCAATACATGTCCATTATTAACTAAGAAGTTCTATCAAACATTTTAACTCCTAATTCCTTTTATTAGAGGGGTTGTTAAGTCCCAGAGGATTAAAAAAATGTTTAAAACTATTCAAAAGTAGTGAAATAGAAAATCCTTCAAAAGTAGAAAAATGAGTAAACTTTATCTGATGTTAAAATTGTAAAAATGGCTTTAATTGTAAAGATTGACGAAACCTTGACGTTTGAAATTGAGTCATAACTATTGAGTAAAAAAAAAAATAAGGAAGTAATCTAAGAAGTATCTGTGTAGGAAAAACATAAGGTAGCTGTATATGAATTGAAGAAATATGTAATACTTAGTTAGAAAATGAAATAGAAAACTTTTGAGTAAGCTAAGTTAAGGACTACATTATCGGTCTTAATTCCACTCAACATATGCAGCATTCCCTGTTTATAGTGTCCTGATAATTCTGGACACATTTTGACTATAAGTTCATACACAAACCTTCATATCCAAGGAAAAATGATGAAAATGAATAATTAAGTGCTCTAAAAATGTTGAAAAGTAGTAAGGCCAAAGATTTAAATGAAATAACTGAGAAAATTTAAAGAAGTGGTTTGCTTGTGGAGGTATTATGTGATTCGTCTATCTGAGAAAGCTACTGCTGTGGCTGATTATAGAAATAATGCTGTTATTGTTGCTCTTTACAAAGGGAAAGTTAACAAGAGTGAATGCAAAAACTACAGAAGAATTTCTTTGTTGTTAAGAGGGCCTGGGAAGGTGTTTGAACTTTGAAAGTCTCTAAGAGGTGACAGTCTGAGAAATGTAATGTAATCCCAGCCTTTGCTTTATAGCAATTCGTTAAGAAATGGATGAATGTGAAAAATAAAATTTATTGTGCTTTGTAGATTTAGGGAAAACACAATAAAGCAAACAAAGTTGAAATATACAATGTAGAGTTGAAACTGGCTGCTGAATGCAGTATGTACATGTACATCTACTCATAGAAGTAAAATGCATGAAAATGAAAGAAATGCTTAGTGAGTGAGTTGGCACTGGACAAGGAAAAAGGGTTTGGAATGACTTCATGGATAGCTGTGTTTATGGATAAACAGAATGCTTGTGACTATAGGTGTGTTACTTGGGAATTTGAATGTAGAGTATGTGCAGATTATTTTGGCTGAGAATATCAAAATGATTTGCAGCAAATGTTAAGGATACTGTATGATGCAACAAGGAAACTCAAGCTGAGAATTAATACATTGTATCAGCGTAGTTGTGCTTGACAGGCAATATAGAACAATACACAAATTGTAAAGAAATGTGTAACTTGATAGTATATTTAATAATGATGGGAGAATGAATAAAAAAATTAAAGATGGTACAAATGCTGGTAGGAAAGTAGAAGGAAACGCATGTTCAGGCCACCCCAATGATGCCCTTGACGTGATGACCCGATGTCTGGAGGCCGTAAGGGTCTGGATGGGGAGAAACAGACTCAGGCTCAACCCTTCCAAGACCGAGTGGCTGTGGCTACCGGCGCCTCGGCATAGTCAGCTGATTCCATCGCTGACTATAGGGGGCGAAACTTTGGCTCCCTCGGAAAGGGTACGCAATCTNCTGCACTGGCTACCGGTGGCTTTCCGGGTGCGCTTCAAGGTGTTGATCATCATCTTTAAAGCGCTCCATGGCATCGGACCTGGATATCTTCGAGACCGCCTCCTGCCACAGATTACCTCCCATCGGCCAGTACGCTCCCACAGAGTGGGTCTCCTCAGGGTGCCGTCAGCCAGACAGTGCCGGCTGGCGACCCCAAGGGAGAGGGCCTTCTCGGTGGGAGCTCCCACCCTCTGGAATGAACTACCCCCAGAGATCAGGGTGATCCCTGATCTCCCTTCCTTCCGCCACGCCCTTAAGACTTGGTTATTTCAGCTTGCAGGACTGGGCTAGGGGAAATTTTTAGCGGGGTTTTAAAATAATTTTAAATTAATTTGGCCAAATGTTAATATTGTCTTTTAATTATGTTTTTAATTGTAGCATTTTGTATTTTTGTAGTTGTTTTATCTGGCTGTTAGCCGCCCTGAGTCCGCAAGGAGAAGGGCGGGATATAAATATAATAAACATAATAATAATAAACAAACATGAGAAATGAATGTTTGTTGAAAGGAGGGAAAACTTCAGTGTATAAGAATGAACTTCTGCCCATTGCATTATACCAGAGAGTTGGTATGCTAGAACAGGGCTTTTCAACCAGTGGTACGGGTACCACCTGTGGTACATTGGCACCTGGCAGGTGATACACAACCATCCTAGAAAAGTGGTAGCGGGGGAGGGGAATGAGCCAAACCGGTGGCAGCACCGCACAAGCCTGAGCGAGAGATGGCTGGAGCTGCAGGGCTGTCAAGGCTTAGTGGAAGCGCCAGGATCAGCGCCAGGCTCCAGCTGGAGCTCGGCGCTGATCCTGGCGCTTCTGAGCCCAGAAGAAGCGCCAGTCAGCTTCTTCAGGGTCTTGTGATTTACATTCAGATGCTTGTCAACTGATTCATATTTATGACGGTCACAATGTCCCAGGGTCATGTGAAGTGACCAAAACCTGCTGTAACCACCCAGCAGAGGGGGGGGGAAATAAAAAACAAACACCTCCCACCCCACCCCCGCTGCCAATCCTCAACAGAAATGCTCACAACAATGAAAACCTCAGACAGGAGGAAGAGTGTGTCCGGGCAGGCAGGCATCTTGCTCGGCTGTGGCTTGGTGGGCACTTTTTTCAGTGCCATTGTAACTTCGAACAGTCACTAAGCGAACTGTTGTAAATCGAGGACTACCTGTACTTTATCACTTTTTACCTTTTGACACCTTGCTAGGCGACTGGTGGTACTCAGATGTTGCCATATCCTAAAAGTGGTACAATGGGTGAAAAGGTTGAAAAGCACTGTGCTAGAAGAAACTTTGCCTTAGCAATAGGATACTACAGATGCATTTGTGGAACGAGAAAAAAGTAGCACTGAGAAGCAATGGATGGTGAATAAATGTGGAGTGAATACAATAAATGACTTGTTTGAAAGATATGGTTTATTGACATGGAAGGAAGGAATAGGGTTCACTTGCTCTTAAACTATGTGAAAGAATAGTGGTTGAGAGGAAGAGAAGACTAAAGAAATCATGGTTGGATGGAACTGATAAGCTCACAAAGAGAGATAACAAGCATAAAGAAGAGGCAACATATGCAGTGGTAGAAGTGAGGATGCCCCTGTTGTGGCTCCGTCTTGTGAGCCCCTCTTATCGGAGGAAGAAGGCTCCGAACATGAAGGAGAGGAGATGGCTAGGCCTCCCTCTCCAGGACCCTCCTCTTTGGCAATGCCTCAGGTGTCTCCCGACGGAGAAGAGATTGACCAGGAGCTGGGTGGTTCTGAGATTGGCCAGGAGCCAGGAGTTTCTGAGATTGGCCAGGAGCCAGGTGTGTCGGATAATGAGGAAGAGAAGTTGTGGCTGGATCCACGCCAGCGTAGGAGCGACAAGCGTGCGCAGCAGAAAAAGAGATGTGCCAGAGATTAAGCTGAGTCACTGGACCACACCCCACAGGCTATAAAAGGGTGGTGGTGGCCATTTGGACCTCTGTGATGGACAAAAGCTGAATCTCTGGCAAAGTAGTTTGCTGTGGCTTTAAACTGTGTGTATTGTTTTTGTTTCTGTGTGTTTGGAGTAAAAGGTCTTGGCAGGCAGCTACGGAGCTGCTGCCAACCTATGTATATGACATTACAATTGGCATCTGTATAGCAACTTTCCCCAAGTGCATGTGTTGCGCCAAGATTTCCTCAGCAGCTGGATCTTTAGGAAATCTAGGAATTGGTTGAACACCAACCAATTACAGGGCACTGTAATGTAGAAGATTTTGTTACTTAAAAAATATAGCCTGAAATGATGCACCTTGCCACAGTATCTGTGAGACAAGGTAGCCATCAATCTGATGTCTTCATGGAAACCTTTTTTCTTGCCCAACTGATTTGCATTCCTTTATAGTCCTTACTTATTTTTTGAGTAGGTTAGAGCAGTGCAAAACACAAATCTCTCTGATATGTTTATTAATCTGAATACCTCTGAGCTCCACATAAATATTATTTGAAAATTAAAATAGAAGTGTCTGCAGCTCAGTGCTTTAGGTGATGGTTGTGCCCACCTATCCATAAAAAGAGGAAAAATAAGTTGAAGTCTGTTAATTTAAAACATTTGTATAGCCGCTCCTCTTAAAAGAATTACGGATGGCTTATAACCAGCAAATATTAGTAAACATATTAAGAGAAGTGGATAGGGGTAATGCACCTATCTTCTGGCAAATGAAGTTCCACGATTGGCAATACCTATCACAGCAACCATTTTGTGAGAGTGCCCTCATATTTTCATAATTTCAAACAAATGTTTCTACTTTTGTTCCATAAGATTCACTTACCAGGAGTCTTTCAGAATTATTCATAGGGAAACAATAACAATTCTAAATTCCATCATATTCTGTCACTAGACAAAGCTAATCTATACAACTTTGCTTTCTTCTCCCATTCTGCTTGTTCCTAGGTTGTCAAGTATATGATTTTGGAGACTTACGTTTCACCCCAGTGCCCAATGATGAACTGTACAATAACCTGGTTAAGTACCCACGCTCTGTAGGATTAGCTAACCAACTTCTGGCTGATGCTGTGAATGGAGCTGTGACAGCTGGGCATAGCTGCATAACCATTGGAGGCGATCATAGGTGAGTTAGGAAAAGTGAAACTACCATATGACTTTTATATAAAGACCATCAAAATAAATGTTTCTTTACCTTTAGACCAGTGATGGCGAACCTTTTAGAGACTGAGTGCCCAAACTGCAACCCAAAACCCACTTATGCATCGTCGGGTGCCGGGTGGGTGTGGCCCATTGGGTGGGTGTGGCCCATGGGGTGGGCGTGGCTGCGGTGGTAACCGCAGACTGGGTGGGGCTAAAAAGTTCAATCAATCAATTCCAACTTTGCGAGATCTTTTTTTTCCCCGCGAGAAGTTGAGATTGACTGATTGATTGAACCTTTTTTTTTTTTTGCACATGGCGGCGGAGGCCTAAAGCGAAAAGGTTTTATAAAACCCAGCTGAAGGCCTAGGACTGGGGCGACGGCGCGCGTGCCCACAGAGAGGGCTCTGAGTGCCGCCTCTGGCATCCGTGCCATAGGTTCGCCACCACTGCTTTAGACCCATGAAATGCTTGCTTGAAAGAGAGTAACATGAACAGTGTAAAAAGGTGTTGAGTCCTAAAAATATTTGGGTTATGGCAGTTGATAAATTCCACAAATGATGGGCCTGGCAACACTAGATCTGAGAATGATTTGGGGGACTAGATGATGTTTTATCCATTTAAAGTTATACTATAGAATTCTACAGCAATGGTAGATACGGTAGGTAATGCATATACTACTAGTGTACTAAACAAAAATAGTCAATCCTGAATTTAAAAACTCTTTTGTAATTAGACAGGAACACTCATCTGCTTCCATTACCATATTCTCAGTGAGTCTAGAATAATCTGCTAATTAGACTGTTGTAGAAAATGTGGGAGTATAAAGTTACATACTGGTTTCATATTTATCCCCTTAACCCCTCAATGGCAAGACATTGTGGGCAGGATCATATGCACAATATGCATTTATGATATGAATTCAAGTGCAGTTGTTATATATTTGGCTTCCAAAATGATTCTGTTAGCCCACATTTATCAGATATCCTAATTCTACAGACAAGGCTGATATAAATTTGAACTGTTTTTCCCTTACAGTTTAGCACTTGGTTCTATCAGTGGACATGCAAGGCAATACCCACATCTCTGTGTGATCTGGGTTGATGCCCATGCTGATATTAACACTCCACTCACAAGCCAATCAAGAAATCTCCATGGGCAGCCGGTTTCATTTCTTTTAAGAGAACTTCAGGATAAGGTAAGTTGGGATTGCATGGTGATGTCAACAAGGAATAGCACTTATTGAGCTATCAGTATTTTTTTTAATTGAAAGTAAACTTTAGATATCAGACAGATGACATATTTATTATTAGTTCATAGGGGCATATATCCTGAACATTGAAGAGTGGTGTTCTTTAGGATACAGTATTGGGTGCATAATTCATAAAAATGCAAGTACCTCTATATTGAGTTAGTCAACATGATTTGAGATTGGGTGGTTATTGGTTTACTATATGGCAATTCTACCATACAATCCTTTCAGGAGAATAGAACACACATGAGCTTACATAATCATTTAGTGACCACCTCATATAGCAACCATTTGCAGTTACAATGATGATGGCAAAGCAACCCTGCAACCGTTTCTCACATTTATGACCTTCGCAGGACTGTACATGTAAAGCAGGGGTGTCAAACTGCCGGCCCACGGGCCAGATGTGTCACGCCAAAACCACGCCCACCCCATTGCCGGCAATAGAAAAAAAGTCGCGATATGTCGCGTCACGTGATGTTGCAAGTTTGACACCCCTGATGTAAAGCAAAGGTAAGCTGAAGTAAGATTATAAGCAGTCACATTTTTACTTAGTGACCTCTTTGCTTAACAGACCCAATTGTAGTTGCTAAATGAGGATTACTGTATTGTTTTTTTCTACCTGTTAGGAATAGTCTGTTACTTGATGAATTGTAGCTGAAAGTTGATGGCTGTAGCTGCTGGTATTCCTGCAGTTTCCCTTCCAAAGGAATGATCATGCATGGATGTGTTTTCTATACAATAGGTCTCTACCTTGCAAGTCCCCCCCCCCGTAATTTAAAAAGCACTTGTTTGATCATACCCACTTGAAAAGTATCAACTCAAGATATTGGGGGGGGGGGAAGATATGGGAGACTTTGTTAGCTAGATTTATTTCTTGCTTTCAGCAGCTCGAAATGGTTATCATTCTTACCCAAACTGAGCAAGGTAAAATAACACTGTAGCTAAATACTCTTATTATATCTAACTTTTGGAAAGTGTTACAATAAGCTAAATCTTAATTGCCCCTAGGGCAGGGATAAAAGTAACTTGGGTTCAGCTTTTTTTTTTTTTAACTCTTATTAACCCTAGTCAGCTTGGCAAAGAACTGATTTTGAACAGCACATGCTCAGTAATCTGAATACGCAATTATAAACGGGCACAGCAGGACCTGATCTTTTCATCAAGGCAAAAAAATTTCCAGTTGTTCTGTACATGAGTGCAATGACATGTGTACAAAAGAGGCACACTTTGCATTGCAAAAGTGCAACTCTGTTTTCTACATCTACATTCCTTTTTTCACCTCTCGGTGGAGCCCTCCGGCCATCAAAGCAGTTCATAATACAGTTCATGTAGTGACCGTTTGAAGTTACTGGGGCACTGAAAAAAGCGACTTATGGCCATTCTTCACACATAGGACCGTTGCAGCATCCCCAGGGTCACATGAACAAAATTCAGATGCTTGACGGTTGCAGTTTCCCAGGGTCATGTGATCCCCTTTTGTGGATCTTCTGACAAGCACATTTCAATGGGGAAGCCGGATTCATTTAACAACTGTGTTACTAACTTAACAACTGCAGTGATTCACTTCACAACTGTGTCAAGAAACGTCGTAAAATGGGGCAAAATTCAATTAACTGTCTCGCTTAGCAACAGAAATTTGGGGCTCAGTTGTGGTCCTACGTCGAGGACTACCTGTATGTATTTCAATATTAGCATGTTTTCAAAAACCCGTGTTTTGGATCCCAGGAAATTTTATGTAAGGAACTGAGCGAGACCTAATCACCTTTTATTGGGAATGCTGATATCCTTTTGGCTTGGACTGGGGGGAAAAAAATAAAGTATCTTTAGTCTATCACAATTTATTCCTGTGGAAGAAAAACTGTTACATGTCTGCAGCAATGTCATCTAAAACAAGATTTCTATAACAGGATATTGGGGGGCGGGGGGGAGTCTATACTAAAATCATATTGAGTTGGCCAGGTCAAAATAATATTTTCTAGACCAGTCTTTTCAGGATCATGTTTTTCTGTTATTTCGAAGGTGCCAGTGCTTCCTGGATTTTCCTGGCTGAAGCCCTGTCTTTCACAATCAGATATTATTTATATTGGTCTGAGAGACGTTGATCCTGCGGAACAGTAAGTACCTGATAGCTAGTTTAAATTATTTAAATTAATTTAAATCAATTTGTTATTTAAATTATTCCCTTCCTCCCAATTTGTAGCAGGATTATTGCTATATTTCAGACTGTAAGGGTATTTAACTTTTAACCTGTTTTCTCAACAGTTATATTCTGAAGAATTATGGCATTCAATATTTTTCAATGAGACATATTGATGATCTTGGAATCCAGAAAGTGATGGAAAAAACGTTTGACCATCTTTTGGGAAGGTAACAGGAATATTTGTTAGGCAATTAAATAATCCAGAAACCTGGTCATTGGCAACCATTAGCCAATTCCTACTGATTACTAGGATAAGTGACCTACTGCAGATGAACTGTATTTAGTAAACAATAGTATTGTCTTTTGTCAAGAGGGCCAAGACCAATCCATCTGAGCTTCGACATTGATGCCTTTGATCCATCACTGGCTGCAGCAACAGGGACGCCTGTCTTGGGTGGATTAACATATCGTGAAGGCATGTACATTTCTGAGGAAATACACAACACAGGTAAAAACCACTTAAGCATATTTTTTTTAAAAAAATTGGGTTAATGTAACAAGAGTCACAAAAATTTTAATTATATGCTTGCAGGATATCTGTACTACAAAAATATTCAGAAATGTTTAAATCAAAATGTTAACAAAATAAGTCTAATAGACGCTTGGATTCTTTATTCTCTCTCTTCCAACGATTCATGAGGCATCCTGAAGACAATAGCAGTGTTTTTTGAGCTTTCAGATGGCACCTAATTTAGTTTTACTAGTTAGTAAAACAATACAAGCTATGCTGCCAAATTTTAGCATAAGCTATATGGAAACATAACCTTGTTTAGAGAAGTTAATGTTCCCAGTTCATCTTCCAGTTGTTATCATTACACCCTTTTGTTTTCTGTGTATTTGTATTATAGCTTCTCCAACCCTCTTCTTGACTCAGTTGGATTAGAATTATCAGGGAGTTTTAAAGGCATATCATACTTTAAATATTTAACCATTCACTTGCCCTTGGCAACAAGAAAGCATAGAAAAAGAAAACAAAACCATTGGAAATTATTGTTGCTTTGGATAAAAGTAGGATTGAAGTATAATGCAACATGTAATGAGACAGATCTGTTATTTGGCTGAAGAGATTTAAGAATATATATATATATATATTGCAAATTTCTGTCTTTTGCTCCAAAGTAACTCACTGCCTTCACTTTCTCAGGCCTGCTTTCAGCTATGGACCTTGTAGAAGTAAATCCATTCCTTGGAACTTCACAGGAAGAAGTGAATGCAACAGCCAGTTTGGCAGTAGATGTGATTGCTACAAGCTTTGGGCAGACGAGAGAAGGAGCACACATTGTTTTTGAGAACCTGCCAACACCTAGTTCGCCAGATGAATCAGAAAATGAAGAGCAAGTCCGGCTTTAGGTCTCCCAAGTGGCAGCAGATGCCACACAAAGGGCATTATGTATAGTACTGCTGATCTACTAAACAAGTGGACGGAACAGAAATCAAGTGTACTACATTCTGAAGTCTTCACTCAGCTTTGGAGTTTTGTTTTTGTTTTTTAGTTGGGAAGTCAAACTGTGCCACAAATTAGTATCTTCAGTATACATGACTATCGTGTTATATTGCAGATGTAGTTCATCTCCTCCCAGTAGCACTGCACCCTTCTCAGAAGGACATGTCAAGACTGACAACAAGCCAGCACTGTATTTTAAATGCAGTAAATACAATCCATCTTTTCAATCTATGTCACAGCTATTGCCCAGGTATGTCCATATAGTGGATTGAAGACAGCAAAGCAGAAAAACTGCATTTCTTCGAGGCTTAGGTGAAGAACTTATAGTAGACAAGACCTCCCAGGATAATTACCTCCAGGATGATGATGACAGAGAGTAACAATTTATTTGTCATAAGCCTAGAAAGAAAGAGACATGAACTTTGTTGGTTTTTTTTAAAAAACTGCAAGTTGTTACCATTTATGGAATTATGGTGATCATAGAAACCATCCAATTTCATTTTTAGTAAAGCAAACCCTTTGCATGCTTACTCAAAAGCAAGTCTCTTTATGCATTGCTGATTTAAGGGAAATCCTAGGTAAATAGGCATAGGGATTCAGCCACCGTGGAAAAAAATAATGCTGTAGAAGGACAGTACCAGCTATTTAATTTCATTTAAAACATCATGGTTCTTGAGATACCTTATAAAACATTAAAATACTCTTGCTAGAAGTTATAGAGCCTCACTGTAGGGTATGAAAAAACATAAAAGAATAGAGGCAAAACACTCCTAAATGAAGAGATACAGCTGTAATAATTCCAGTTTTTGGTAAATGGGAGAGCACAAAGAGCTGAAAATCTGATGATAATTAATGGCTTGAATATTGTTTTTAGTAGTTCCTTTTATATAGCAAGTTCTTTCAATAAATAATAAACCTTACTGAATGGAAGCCCTGGGTTTTCTTTTTTTTCTGCTAGCATGCTAAAAACTGCTGCTGTGGACGTGTATGTGGACACGAGGGAACCACAATAAGGATCCTTTGGGATCTGACTGCTCAAGACTTCTTTCTATGGGGACTTAGTCTCAGAGAGTGGTCAGTATTTGCAACCATGCCTATTGGAGAGCTTTAAAGAACAATCCAGCCGTATGTGTCCAGTTAGTCACCTGACAAGATGTAGAAATTAGACGTTACACAGCATTCTATATAGTACAGGTAATCCTCGACTTACGGCCACAATTGAGCCCGAAATTTCTGTTGCTAAGAGAGACACTTGTTAAGTGAGTTTTGCCTCATTTTATGACTTTTCTTGCCACGGCTGTTAAGTGAATCACTCCAGTTATTAACACAAGTTGCTAAGTGAATGTGGTTTCCCCCACTGACTTTGCTTGTCAGAAGGTTACAAAAGGTGATCACATAACCCCAGGATGCTACAATCATCATAAATATGAGTCAGTTGCCAAGTGTCTGAATTTTGATCATGTGAACATGGGGGTGCTGCAATGGTCCTAAGTATGAAAAACAGTCATAAGTCACTTTTTTCTGTACCGTTGTAACTTCAAACGGTCACTAAATGAATATAAGCTAAGGACTACCTGTATTTATATAGCTTATTTTCTGTTGATTCTTCTATTCTGAGAGGTGAGAGGCATCTTAAATTTAGGGACATATCCTAAATATTATATTCTTGTTTCGGGGGGGGGACTAAATCAACCTACAGTATCCACTTAAAGAATACTATAGCTAGAGAAATATACTGCTCAAAAAAATAAAGGGAACACATCCTATAGCAGTGTTTCTCAACCTTGACAATTTTAAGGCATGTGGACTTCAACTCCCAGAATTCCACAGCCAGCAATGCTGGCTGTGGAATTCTGGGAGTTGAAGTCCACATGCCTTAAAATTGTCAAGGTTGAGAAACACTGTCCTATAGGATTTCTTATAGGATGTGTTCCCTTTATTTTTTTGAGCAGTATATTTATGTTCATGTTAGGATCATCTTATCATATTCCTTTAGCTCTGGCAATCACTTCCTATATAATATGGGGCAGGCCATAGTGCTGCATACAAAAGGAGGAATTGGCAAATAAAGTGTCCCTTCTCTCGCTTTAGCAAAAGCTAAATTACCAGATCTAAACTGAAAAAATCCAGGTGACCCATAGACAGAAACAAAGAGATACATTTTTGCTGCTTTCTACTCATTGTCCAGTGATTTGCAACCTAGATGTGGTAGCCTGAGCAAAGCTTGGTTTGGATTTGTTCAACAACCAACTAATGCTCCCTCACTGTTGGATTTTGCATTTATGCACAAATGCCTAAAGGTGCACCAATCATACAAATTAAGTCTGGGCCCTAACTTACTTGCTAACTCCTAACTAAATGGGCCTACAAATTGGTGAACTTTATCCCTGAACATTGCCACCTTTCCCACATCTATATGAAAATAAAAGCCATTCCTCCATATGGACATCGGAGATAGGCCAAGCCTATACTGAAGGAATAAGCTTCACAAAAAACCCAAACATACAAAACATTTTAAAGCATTATTTCACCAACCTTCTCGACATGGAACGTAGGATCTTCCGGCTTCTGCTTAAATTTTCATTTGTGTTTACTAACTGTAAAGAAAAAAACCACCATGAATTCCCACCTGCTTGGCAAGGGATAAGGGTGCTACTTTTGACAGTTGGAAAGCATCATCTGTTAAACACAATGTTCAAATTAGGAGATCAAGCCAAACTTAGAGAAGGATAGTTGGCCTCTGTTTTAAGGTGACGATTGGAACACATCCAGTCAGCTCAACTCTTGTCCATAACATTCTGTAATAATTAAAAGAAGCACGATGCACCCCAACTTATGTATTTCTGTATTTTTTTTCCTTTTATACTAATAGACTGAATTATGTTTCTGATAACAAGGCCAAATAACACACTATCCAAGGTAAATTCTTGGTCTTTTCCTGAAGGGAAAAATATTGATAGTGAATCGCAAAGATATCCGGTAAACAAGCAGCAGCGTTTTGGGGCTGGTTAAGATTCCATCTTCTGCGTCAGAGCAGAGACCATGAGTAAGTTTCATTATTGGACGTGGACTATGTATTAATCCATTTATCTAGTTCCTGAGATTTCAGCAGTTTATTAAAAGATAAGTGTTATCTTTAAAATAAATTAAAGAATATATCTAAGGAAGATCAAAGCCAATCTCAATAAAACAATATTTGATTCCAGAGGTTTAGAAAAAGTAGACCTATTTTTCTACCAGAACAAGAAAAAGTGGGGGGGTGTTTTTTTAAACTATATTGTTACATTAAATAGTTGTATAAGCTAAAGTTTGCTCTTTTATTGCAGTTTCCCCTCTGCGCTATGAAAGAGCAAAGCCCCATGGAGAAGTGATACGGGGAGAGAGCAGTGCTGGGAGAGTAGAAATATATATTGCGTTCATAAGACTTATCTGTTGATAAGAGAGGAAAAACAGACTGTTCCATTCCAGTGGCATTTTGAAAACTTACTCTGCCTTTGGTGCGCTCCAGCTGCTCACGCTGCCCACCTAGTTCTTCAATGATGTCACTACCAATTTGATCAGTTTCTGCAGCAATTTGGTGTGTCCGGTCCAAGCTCTGAGTGGCTCGATTCAAGCTTTCTGTTCCCTGAAGCAGTAACACCCTCTGAGACTGCATCTGAGTCTAAGAGACAATTAAGACCTATTTAAAAAGGCAGAAGGGATATTTTTATCTTTCAGTATGTTCTTCTCTGAGAGTGGAGATTTAAGTCATGCTAGCAATGTAAAAGGAGAACAAGAGGAGTTTCCTAATGCCAAGAGAAACAGCCTATTCCAGTGATGGCGAACCTTTTAGAGACCGGGTGCCCAAACTGCAACCCAAAACCCACTTATGCATAGTCGAGTGCTGGGTGGGTGTGGCCCATTGGGTGGGCATGGCTACGGTGGTAACGGCAGACTGGGTGGGACTAAAAAGTTCAATCAATCAATTCCAACTTTGCAAGATCTTTTTTTTCCCGCAAGAAGTTGAAATTGATTTGATTGAAACTTTTTTTTTTTTTGCACACGGCGGCGGAGGCCTAAAGCAAAAAGGTTTTATAAAACCCAGCTGAAGGCCTAGGACTGGGGTGACAGCGCGTGTGCCCACAGAGAGGCCTCTGAATGCCGCCTCTGGCACCCATGCCATAGGTTCACCACCACTGGCCTATTCTTTTAAGAAAATATTGGTGAAGACACTGAGAGGATCCCATCTTCTTGTCCAAACTATCTCTGATGACACCAAGGTTTTTAATTTGATTCGCCAATCAAAAAATGTCCCTTATAGTATAGCAGAAACTATACATACAGCTTATTCCCGCCCCCCAATTGATTCAAGCAAATGCTGTCAACATTTTCTTGGAGTATTTACAATCAGTTTCCCCCCCCCTCCTTTCAATGTAGACCATTCAGCTATTTTCTTAGGTCAGCGGCCCCCAACCTTTTGGGCACCAGGGACCAGTTCTGTGGAGAGAGGTTTTTCCGTGGACTGGAGGGGGTGTGGTTTTGTGTGCTTCCTGCGGATGGGGCTTCGCTTGTGTGATGACCCAGGGCACAGCACAGAGGCAATGCAGTCAGCTGGCAATTCAAACAGTCCTTTAATTGCTCCAAATTTTCCCCCAAATGCTCCCAATTTCTGACAAGCCTCCAACAAAAGAAACACACACCCCTTCAGCTGATTTTGGCTGCAAGTAGTTTCACATACAGTCTGATTAGAAGCGGAATGTACTCAAGGCCACAGAGATAACAAGGAATAACACATAAATCATAAACCTAAGAGTCTGTGTGAATAAAGGCCTGCCTGAGCAGTTTCAAAAGAGAATCCAAAATACAGTCTGAGGTCTTTAAACATTCAAGCAACGTTGTCAGTCAGTCCAATAGTCAGAGTTACCAGGTTTCCAAACCGAAGTCACAGAACAAGAGATCAGCAACACACAAAACTCCAAGGAATCAGCGTTTGTTCCTGACAAATGCCCCTCCCCACAGCGTCTCCTTAAATCTCAGTCTCCAGGTGTGCCTTGTGGAGAATAGTTGTGCCTGCCTGTGTTGTTCCCTCCTTCTCTCCACTCTCAGTGCTCTAGGATCAGATGGGGGGGGGGGCCTTGTTCAGTCTGTCCCACTCCTGAAGCTAAGGTGACCAATCGTCCTCCTTTAGGGAGGACAGCCCTTCTTTTGTACTCATTTAAATAATAATTAATAGGCATGTACGCATCATTACAATATAAAATGTTATTGTTGCAAATGTTTTTTATTATGCATTTATCATATTATAGTGTATTCTGTATTGTTGCAATGAATAAAATGTTTTATTTACGATATTTTTTTCTTCAATTTATTTGTGTCCTCCTTCTCATTGTAAAAAAGTTGGTCACCTTACTGAAGGGCCCTGGCCTGCCTCGGCCTGCTCTTCCCCACATTCCTCTGAAGCCACAGACACCTCTCCCTCGACTTTCATAGGATCCTGTTCCAGCTCATTTTCCTCCTCAGATTCAGGCTCTGAGGGAGGCATGACAGCTTGTTTGTTCAGCCCAGTTTCTGGCATGCCATGGACCGGTGCCGGTCCACGGACCAGAGGTTGGGACCCCTGTCTTAGGGACAAAGAACTAAACTGATTCAGTCAGATATTAATAGTGTGGTGGGCCTAGACCACAGGTCGGCAACCTGCGGCTCCGGAGCTGCATGCGGCTCTTTGAGCCTTCCCCTGTGGCTCCCAGCCTCCTCTGCCATTTGCAGAGAGAGACAGAGACAGAGAGAGGCACTTGTGCTTCCCTGCTTCTCTCTCTGTCTCTCTCTGTGTTTGTGTGTGTGTGTGTGTGTGTGTGTGTGTGTGTGTGTGTGTAAAACAGAGTGGATTCACGGTGTTCTCCGACAAGCTGAAAAGCTTTTTGGGTGGGGCTCCTCCCTTTGCTGCGTCTATGCAGGAAGCAGGAAGCAGGAAGGGCAGGAGAGAGCTAGCTAGCCCAGCTATGCTGACTCAGGAATTCTAGGAGTTGAAGTCCATGAGTCATAAAAGAGCCGAGGTTGCCTACCCCTGAGCTTGTTGGAGAACAGCTTGAAGCCAGCATGCCAGGTGAGCAGAAGATTGGAGAGAGAGGAGGGGAGAGAAAGAGAGAGAGATAGAGAAAGAGAGAGAGAGAGAAAGAGAGAGGGAGAGAGAAAGGAAAGAGAGAGAGAGAGAAAGAAAGAGAGTGGGGGAAGAGGACTGGCAGACCAAGGGCAGAAAGAGAGAGAGGGAGGGAGAGAGAGAGAGACCCTTTTGACATCTAAAATGAAGATAACACTGCATATATCCTTTTTTACCTATATATGTGTGTGTGTGTGTGTGTGTATTCAGATATTTTTGCTGACAAGAGTTAAAGATTTAAGTGGGAGACTAGTATAGCTATTTCAGATTCATTTATCCTCAAAATGCCAAGGTGTAATCAATCAGACCGGTCTGTCTGAAAAACTTTCTATACACACACACACACACACACACAGAGTATATACATATATATATACACATACATACATACATACATACATACATACATATGTAAGGTAAAAAAGGATATATACAGTGTTATCTTCATTTTAGATATCAAAAGGATTTTGCGGCTCCCAGTATTTTGTTTTCGGTGGGAAACGGGTCCAAGTGGCTCTTTGAGTGTTTTGGGTTGCCTACCCGACCTAGACACTATACAGTTTAAATGACATCAAACCTAGCAATCTGAATAGTGAAGAATTATATAAACTGCTTGCAGTAAAATTCAAATAGCACAGAGCGTATTAAAAATGAATTTTTTTTCAATATGCTACATATTTAACTTAGCAATCTTCAAGATGTGTGGCTAGTTCATTAGACATGACAAAACCTAATGTACTGTGCTTACTACTCACTTCCCTTGAAAGGGAAAAAGAAAATGTTTATGTAATCATTTTAGTGGATGCTCTAATTTTTAAAAAATACCTAAATTAACGTTTTTTAAAAACCAAGGCTCCTTGGTGTAATAATTACTGGATCAGAAACAGGGAAAATGCTGATTCTCCCATAGGCAAAGAATCCAGTGGCTTTGGGTCAGTCACTTTCTCTCCACTCAGTGCATCTTACAGGTTTGTTATTATGGGGAAAATAAGAAAATAAGAGGAAGGAGCATCATTCATTACAAGACATCTTGCGTTGTACAAAATAAAGGTAGGGCACAAATCAAATCAATCAATGGAAATTAAAATACATCCCAGATTGCCTTACTGATAATCAGCATATGAAAGATGCATCTAAATGATCACTAGCAGCACTGAACAGAGAAATATCTTAATAAGCATTCCAGTGTTAATCTTATTTATATTCTGGTGCCTTTTATGTATTACAAGAGTTAAGCAGCTATTTTAAATACATGCCAGTTGCCAAGAATCCGAATTATGCAACCATTATGTAATCATAAGGATGTTGCTAAGTCATAAGTGTGAAAAATAAATGTAGGCCACTTTTTCAGTGCCATGGTAACTTCAAACTGTCACTAAACAAATGGTTGTAAGTTGAGGACTACCTGTATTATCAATGATTCCTCAAATTTGGAAATGAGAACTTGTTTCTGTTTTCTCTTAATTTGCTAAATTCTCCAATGAATTCTTAAAAAGACCTTTACTATTTGCAGAATTTGGAGATCAGCAAAGGCAGGAGGGATCTTTACTACTGCATTTACTATTCAACTAAGCTCTCACCCCCTCCATTCTTCTTTCTTTTCTTTTTATTCCCTCATTTTTTTCAAGAAGAAACTAAGCTTGCTTCCAATCCATCAAGCTAGTAAGGGCGCATAAACTTTTGTATTAACTTCTTTTAGTACTTTTGTATTTTCTAATTGTTTCATAAGTCAATTTGTCTCTTTTCTACAAGTCTTATTACGTCTTCACCATGAGCATAGCCTCTGCACATCTTCTTGAATAAGAACCTGAAGCATGTTGACATCAGAACAACCTTTAAAATAATTGTACACTTAATACTCACTCTCTGCTCATTTTCCGTAGAGAAGATGCCAAATTTTGAATTCCCACGTGCACTTGGAGGTACTCCCAAATCCGTACTTTTCATTTTCCTATGAAATGTGCTAAGATCTCCTTTGTAAGTTCGAATTTTAATCATCATTTGATTGCGGAAGGACACTGGGGCATATTTCAGTTCTTCTTCCATTTCCCTTAACTAGAAGATTTAAAAGTAAACATGTATAAAAATCCTTGTTACATTTGTATTTGAAACATGTAAATCAAGTCTGAAAATGATTAATTTACCAGAAACACCACAGAGACCTAAATTAAAAAACCCACTCAAATTTCTTATGAATCATATTTCATTAGCCTGTGACTAAAATATAAAATACAATCTATATAGCAATTCACTTCTTTATTTCTAAAATATGAATCCCATGTTTTTGTTTTAAAAATGTTATTCTTTGTCTGACCAAAACTGAGTTTATTTAGAAAAAGCATTCTTCCAATTTAAATACATTTCATACAATGACAATAAGAGCCAAAAATGGAGAAAACTTTAAGTATGTTCACGTTACTTATACAAAACAATGACGAAAATATGCTTCATAAAAGTTTATAAAGATGCAGTTGTTTATAAAACATATGGAACTTATCTGTTTCAAAAGTAAAAAGCTACAGTGTGTAGGAAACCACCAAATACATCAGGCAAAAGGCTAGATTTCAATCATTTCCCTATCCTCTTTTTGCTATGTGAAAGCAATATTATTTTATGAAAAAAATTAACTACTTTGAAATGGGCATAGCTAAACACAGTTTTGTTACCACTCTGATAACAAAAACAAAGACCAGACTCAAAAGAATGATATTTCACCTTGCTGCATATCAATCTTCATTGTAAATAAATACAATACAATACAATCATCTGTAATTATCTTTGTAGCATGTTAAAGATAAATCATTGCCTTTAAACCTAATTCAGAAAAAAAATCTACTATGAGTTTAAAACTTTTTTTTTTTTAGTAGAAAGCAGATTAATTTGTTCAAAGGGATATTGCAAATACTGGCTTTGTCTTGTCTGGACAAATCATTAAATGGGAAAAAGAAAAAAAAGGAAATGTTTTTGAAATAAATTATTTCAATCAAGTGTTTCTCAGTCTTAGCAACCCAAGTTGAAGTCCCTATGCTAGTTGGGGAATTCTGGGATCTGAAGCCCATTCACCTTAAAGTTGCCAACGCTGAGAAACGCTAACTTCAATCAATACTAAGCACTTTATTAAGGTCCACAGTGTTTAAAGCACTCTGGATTAGTTTCATATACACTAGGGTTCTAAAGCTTCTTAAAGAATAGTTCATATTCTTACCGTTTCATTTGCCTCTTTTAGTTTTTCATCAAACTCTCGCATTAACTTTTTTTTCTCCTCTACAAGATAAATTTTTAAAAACAAACTTTCACCAAAGGACAAAATATTAGCAGTACAAAAATAATTCATACACTAAGTATATTCTTTATAACTGTTGTTCCTGCTTGAGTTTTTATATTAATATCTGAAGAGATTTCCTTCTCAAAAAGGTGGCAACTGTGCTGCCATTTTCAGTAATTAGAGGTAGACGGTCATATGTACAGCAACAAGAGTTGTTAACTTTTTATTGGATCCCTGACTAAATGCCTTTATGAACTAAGATTTTTTTTTATTTTGAACTTTAGGCCAATGTCTCTTGATATAAGCTCTCAAGCAGGCACAACAAAATTTTATATAAAGAGAAACTTTCTACCAATCATACATATGTATATTTGTGTGTGTATATCTAAAAAAATGGGCCACTCATTTTAAATCATTGACTCGTTTTTCCTGTCATTTTTATTCAAATACATTCACGTGTTTCCAAAATTGTCATTTCTAATTCTGTGAATCAGTAGAGCCCATGCAAAATGGCTATTTTTGTGCCACATTAGATAATGGGCTATATTTAACTATATTGCTCTGCTGAGGGAACAATATAGGCCCAAAGCAATGATTTTTTCTTCTTCACATATATCCTGAATCTGTTCTGGAGGGTACATGCAAGGTAATACCTGTTATATTAACCTAATTGGTTCACGTAACCCAATCTTATCATGTACTTCAATCAGGACTGAATAAATTATTTGTAAAGTATTGTTTTAATTTGTGCAGCATTTGTCCTTATGACATTTAGTATACTGAGTTTCTTTCTTATATGTAAGCTGGCCAGAGTCAAAACTGGACAAATAAGCACAATAATACGATAGTATGTAACAACTGCCAAAAAATAAAAGCAAATGTTATTCTAGGCTGCATTAATCAAGGTATTGGGAAAGGTCAAGAGAAGTTAGCATTCCTCTCTGCTCTGCATTGGTTGCACTGCACTCCATTTTGGAAAGTATACTGAAATTTGAAATTATCCAGAAGTCAGACCAAGATGACAAGGAACCTGAAAGGAAAAATAGTTGGAGATGTTGGCCTGGAGAAGACTCTGGGATGATGTACTAGCTGTTTTCAAGTATCTGCAGGGTTGTCGTGTAAATGTTAGGGGAGATTTGGTGAATATCATTTCAGGAGACAGAACAAGAAACAATGGGTTTAAATGACAAGGCATTAAAATTCATTGGGATACTGAATATTGGGGCATTGGGGCAAATAAGAAATGGTAAATGATGGAACAGACTACCTGAGGAGGTGCAGAATTTTCCTTCACTAGAGGCGTTTTTAAGCTGAGACTGGATGAACATGTCTCTAGGATACTCAGCTTGTAGATTTATGCATTGCACAAGGGTGGACTTCACGTTTTACATTATGTGAGCTGGCAAAAGTACAGGTAGTCCTCGACTTATGACCACAACTGAACCCAGAATTTATGTTGCTAAGTGAGAAAGTTAAGAGAGTTTTGCCCCATTTTATGACTTTTCTTGCCAAATTTGTTAAGTGAATCACTGCAGCCGCTAAATTAGTAACACAACTGTTAACTGAATCTGGCTTCCCCATTGCCTTTGCTTTTCAGAAGGTCGCAAAAGATGATCACATGACCCCAGGACCCTGCAACTGTCATAAATATGAACCAGCTGCCAAGCTTCCGAATGTAAATCACGTGACCATGCAGATGATGCAAAGGTTGTAGTCACTTTTCCCAGTGCCGCTGTAACTTCGAACAGCCACTGAATGAGCTGTTGTAAGTCGAGGACTACGTATATATCTTGTATAACTCTATATTGTCTATTTGTCCGCCGCATCGCACGGAGAGGCCGAAGCCAGATCAGGGAACAGGCTCCCGCCCCGCCGCAGGACTAGAGCGCTGCCTTCTCACGTACCAACCGACAGGCTCCCGCGCAGCCTCTCCGGGGCGCTTTGCAACTCTCCATGGAGGCCGCGAAAAATCTCGTGCAGCCGCTCCAGATGCTCCGAGGAGAGGACGCCGCGGTCCGCCATCCCACGAAAGTCGGGAGCGAGCAGCTTTTTTTCCATCCGACGCCTCACCGGGCTGACTACCGCCTAGAAACCATCCTCCACCGACACTTCCGGGATAACGGGCGGAGCTTAGGCCACATCCTCGCCCTCTTTCTTTGCAGACCGCCCCGCCAGGGTGACTAAAACAATGCCTGGGAACAGTGCCGTCAATCGCAACAGCGCCGCCCTCGTTCCGGCGGAGAAACAGTCATTTCTCTGAGAGTGGTGGTAGTGGTGGGGGCGACAGTGTGTGTGTTTGTTTCTCCCACAAAGAATTTGGCCTCCAATTGATCAGGGGAGATTCGGGCAATAACGTTGTCTCCTTAGAGTTAGGTCCCTTCTGACATCAATATGAGAAGTGGTTGGCATCTGTTCTCCTATTCAGCTGCTACCCTCGTCCAACCTTATTTGACTTTTCAAGATTAGTCATGGGTCAGAGAGGTCAGCTGGAATGATGCAAAAAATCTAAGCTCATTTAACTGAAAGTACTTGAGTCCTTATTGTGCTCATTTGTCCAATTTTGATTCTGGCCAGCTTACATATAAAAAAGAAACTCAGTATATTAAATGTCATGAGGACAAAAGCTGCACAAATTAAATCAATGCTTTACAAATAATTTATTCAGTCCTGATTGGAGTACATGATAAGATTGGGTTAAGTGATATATGGTCGGGTTTTTTTAGGACCCTTCATTTAGCAGGCAATTTTGTTGGGCAAGAAAAATGCTGTGTAAAGTGTTAAAAGTAAAGCTGACAATAAAAGGACATGAATGGTGTGAATGAACTAAATCTGTGGGTTGCAGAGTTACATGAACCAATTAGGTTAATATAACAGGTATTACCTATTCAGGATATGTGTGAAGAATGGAAGGAACTATACTTAGAAAAAAAGTGAACAGATGGGGGAGAAACAGCCATTTAGCTTGCAAGCCAAGCATCTAAATTTAGAATACAATAAAAGAGAGCTGGAAGGGACCTTGGAGGTCTTCTAGTCCAGCCCCCTGCTCAAGCAGGAGAACCTATACCGTCTCAGACAAGTGACTGTCTAGTCTCTTCTTAAGTATCTCCAGTGATGGAGCGCCCATGATTTCTGGGGGCAAGCTATTCCACTAGTTAATTGTCCTCACTGTCAGGAAGTTTCTCCTTAATTCCAGGTTGCTTTTCTCTTTGATCAGTTTCCAGCCATTGTTTCTTGTCCTGCCCTCTGGTGCTTTGGTGAATAACGTGACCTCTTCTTCTTTGTGGCAGCTCCTCAAATACTGGAATACTGCTATCATGTCTCCCCTATTTCTCCTTAGTGGGGAATAATCTAGTGCTGCATTACACATCAGGCTAAGACACATTTGTTTGCCTATGGCTTAGCACCTTGTTGAATAGGGCATTGTGATTGGTAAATAATGATTTATAGATTAGCATGTTGTATGAACCCAGCCAATTTTAATTAATAAAACCACAACTAAATATATATTCATGCATTATGCCAAAATACGATGTAAAACCAGCAGATTTGGACAAGATGCTTGTTCCTTTGAAGAATAACCAAGTACACAAGAGGGATCTTGTTATAAGGTTTATATTGTCACTTACAGTATAACCTGGCAACCTAAAGAGTATAGATCAGGATAAACAAATAGCAAAACAGAGATTGAAGGCCTTTAGGTCCCTCTATGTGTTTTGAATTCAGCGATGGATCATAATCACTTCTGCCAACTTTAGAATACTGTGAAGTCAAGAAATACCTACTTGAGAGTGGGGGGGGGGAATCAGTGAGAGTCAGTGCTTCATCCCCAAGCAATGGCAGCTGCTACAGAAAGAAAAAGTCTCTTACTTACAGAACAGAGAAAAAAATAAACTGCAGATTATATGCATCTATTGTGTCAGGGCCCATCGGAGCCCGAGTCTGAGGAGGAGGAGATGGCGCAGTGGGATGGTGCAGTCTCTATGGCTCAGGAGGAACAACCTGTGAATGAGGACGAGGCAGTCCCGGGCCCATTGGGCCTCCGAAGAGTAGGCAGGGAGGAAGAGAGGGCTCAGGCTGATCAAGGAAATGCAGAGGAGCTCCGGAGAAGAGCAAATGCCTCTCCCGCCTGGTTCCTGAGTGCAAAGAATGGAAAGAAATCAGAGTCAGTGAAGGGCGCCCCAACTACTCAGGAGGAGGGCATCCCGCCCCTCCTCACGAGGTTCACCTGAAGAGTAACATTTAAGGAGATGCCGTGAAGAGGGGCTTTTGCCAGGAACAAGTGTTTGTTTTCAGATTACACTCCCTCAGCTTTGCCTGCTTTCGCCTTGCTTTAAGAACTGTTTTTGTCGGCACCAAAGACTGCTTTTTGCTTTGCTAAAAGAACTGCTTTTGCTCTGTGGGTCAGACTATTTTTGTCTTGCTGTGAGGACCGTTCTTGGCTTCTCCCTTCTGTTTGGAAAATGGCTCAAAATCCCAAAACAAACAAACTCACTTGGAATTCCAGTAACAGAAGTTTTATTTGTAAAGAAGCGTTTGCAAAGGCTTGGTGAACTGAAACACACACAGGAGTTCAGTCACACCTTAAAGAGCGGTTTGACACATTTTTATATCCTGTCGACGCAGGTCTCCTCCCCTATCATACTCAACGCCCCTTGTTTAGTACTCTGAAACGCCTAAAACCACTGCCCTTCCAATGCCCTTTGTACCCATTTTATCTAATACCATTTACTTTTTATAAGCAAAGCCTAGTTCTTCTGATTCTTATCTGTCTGCAGTTATGTCTGTTATTAGGGGGAACATTATTGCCTGGCTATCTAAACTAAATTCTTCCTGCATAGAAATGCATACCTATTAACATTTTTCATAATAGTACGCCACCACTGTCTTATAATCAGGTGCTTTCCCCATCAGTTATAGCCATTATAGCTGTATAGGTCTACCTTTGCACATATGTTTGGGATAGAGGGCAATGGCTCATTTCAATCCAGAGGTTGAAGGGCAGATTGAGGCAAGAGTTTACATAGGCATTTGTGTAAACCTGGAAAACTGATCTGAGACAATCTGTGACGATTACAAAATTGCCTAAAAGGATTGAATCCACCAATAAAATTGCTCACAAAATCTAGCACTTGAGTTCGAATCAAGAGGCAATGGGAGGGAATGACCTCTCCCTAAGCCCCATAGAGCTTTGCTATTGCAATTCTTAAAGCTGGAGGCCCGTTCTCTAATTTTGGCAATTGTGAAGCATGTGGAATAACTGGACCTATCTCCATGGACACTTCCAGCCCTGGGGCCATTGGAGCTCATGGCACTTCTCCCTGTTCTGGCAGCTCCTCAAACTGCTCATCTGCCTCAGGTTCTCTGAGAGCTTCTCCCCATTCCCAAGCTTTAAGTACAGACTCAGGGGCATCTGGCCTAAGCTGTTCAAGCCCCATCTCAGTATCCAATGCGGGGGGAGTTGTTCCAATGTTTTCCATTGATCACAACCAACCCATACAACCCTCTTCCTCTTCAGGGTCCTCCTCTTCTTCTTCCACGGGTGAATCGGGTTGTGCTCGAGTCTCTGGTCTTCTCCTGGTTGAGCAAGGTTCAGTTGCTTTTGAAACAGTTGACTGAGAGGCTCATATTGCCTCGTTTAAAGGCAATAAATGATTTCGGTGCCATGCTTTCAGTGGCCTGGGCTCCCTTCTGGTCGAATCCGGTACACTGGCAATCCATGTAACTTCTCACTGACAATATATGGCTGAGAACCCCATCGATCTGCCAGTTTATGTTTCCCAGGGAGACCAGATTCCTCGGTAATTTATTTATTTATTTGCTATGTATATGTAGGGGTGTGGTTCTATACATATGTTGTACATAGTAGGTTTTAGGTGTGTGTCATGTATGTGTTTCACTTTGAGAGCAGGCAACTAAATTTCATTTTTGATGTGTGCCGTTGTGCCAACAGTAAAAAAATGGCAATAAAGGTTATCTTATCTTATCTTATCTTATTTTATCTTAAAACCCGATTGCCAGGTTGCAGATCCTGAATCCTCACCTTCAGGTCATAGTTCCTCTTATTTTACCATTCTCGAACCTCTGCAATAGCTGAAGCCTTTCCATGTGCTATCTTCAAATTCCTCCTTAATCTGTCTACATAATTGTGATGTGACCTAAATGAGGTTTCGTCCATTGAAATGCCAAATGCTATACCTACTGGCAGTCAAGCCTCCCTGCCAAACATCAGTTGATATGGAGAATACCCAGTAGCGTCATTTTTCGTGCTATTATATGTGTGTACAATGGTAGAAATATGTTGTGTCCAATGTTGCGTCCCCAGCATGTCAAGAAGGGTACAATTGAATCTCTCAGGCTATGAATCTCCTTGTGGGTGATAGGGGGTGGTGCGTGACTTTAGAATGCCCAGTATGTCCAATAGTTGTTTGACAAGCCTGCTTTCGAAATCTCTACCTCGATCGGAATGTATGCGCTGAGGTAGCCCATAATGTACAAAGAACTTCTCTACAAGTACCTTGGCTACCGTAATAGCATGCTGATCCTTTGTTGGAAAGGTTTGTGCATAACGAGTAAAATGATCAGTCACAACCAATACATTTCCCCGTCCACTTGTATCCAATTCCAGACAGAGGAAGTCGATGCAAACTAGATCCAGGGGCCCATGGCTTTGCAGGTGGCCCATCGGTGCAGCCCTGGATGGTAAGGTCTTTCTTTGGATACAGCGCAGGCAGGATCGACAATAGTCTCCAACCTCTGTCTTCATACAAGGCCAATAAATCCGGTCCCTCACTAGCTCGAAGGTCTTCTCTGGCCCCAGATGCCCATGCTCATCATGTAGCACAGTCAACACCGCTTCCCTATGTTTTTCTGGGAGCAAGAAGTACCACTTCTCCTCGGGCCCATCAGAAGGGCCCTTCCAATAAATCACACCATTTCGGAGCTGTAAACGGTCCTGCTCTCTATACAGCACCCGAGTTCCCCTCAACAGGTCAGTGAGTAAAACCTCTTGCTGATCACTTCTCAAAGCCCTTTCAGACAGGCCACAAAGGGGGTCTTCCGCCTGGTCTCTTTTCAATTCTTTCTTAGTCAGAACAAACATACC